TCGGGGGCCAGCAGCAATAGTGCCGTCCAATCTCTGGAACTTGTAACCCCGCAGAGAGCAGTAGTCGCCAAGAATATCAAGCATTTTGACCATCTGACTGAAGATCAGGACTCGGTGGCCATCTTTGTTGAGCTTGGAAAGAAGTTGATCGAGTAGCATCATCTTTCCACTGCTGGCAATCAAGCCCTTGATTTGATCTTCACGGCGGACGCTGCCGGCCAGGACCTTCTCCTCAGCACCAGGAAACATGTAAGGATGGTTACTGATCTTCTTCAGTTCCATCATAATATTCAGGAGAGAGTTCTTGTGTCCATTGGTGGCATCGCAAAGGGCTGTGTAGTTTCTGGTCAGGATGTTCTTGTAGTACTCCAACTGGACATCTGAAAGCTCGACGCGGATAATCTTCTCAGTCTTGGGAGGGAGATCTGACTCGACGGTTTCCTTTGTTCGTCGCAGAATGAAAGGTGCAATGGCCTTGTGAAGTTGTTGCAGTTTCTCTTGTGCATCGCTGGCAGAAAGGGAATCCAGATCTTCGTCAATGTCGACTTTGCCGGGGTTAAGAAAGTCGAGCAAAGCAGAAAGTTCGGCCAAGTTATTTTGAATAGGTGTTCCCGTTATTAGAATCTTGCAAGGAATGCCAAAGCTAACCAGCCGGTTGTATAACTGAGATTCACGGTTCTTGAGGCGATGAGCCTCATCAACAGCGAGCGTCTGCCATTTGATAGACTGCAGGAATTGCCAGTCCTGAAGAATAAACTCGTATGAAGTGACAAGGACATTGAACTTGGGCTTCTTTGGGTTGCCATCTACGAGCAGCTCATGCTCACGAATGATTTTTCGAGCATCCTCAGGACCGAGGTAGACAACATAATTGATGTCAGGGGACCAATGATTGAAAGTGTCGCACCAAGCCGGGATGACACTCAGAGGAGCAACCACAAGCGATGGTCCCTCCTGACGTCGAGCATTACGGAGCCAGCTGAGGAATGATACGGTCTGTACCGTTTTTCCGAGACCCATTTCATCAGCGAGGATCACGTTATTGCCCTTTGTCCAGTTCAAACACAGGAAGTTGAGGCCCCGAAGCTGGAAGTTGCGGAGTTCGCCGCCTTTGATGAAATCGGGTTGCTCCTCGAGCTTGACCATCCGTGATCTTGTGTCGAGGTTCGTCTCCTTCCGGTCTGACTGCCACGAGCGTGATGCTCGATCAAGATATTGGTCAATCTGGTCTTGGAACGCGTCGCTGATTTCTGACGCGACTTCCCATGTGCATTCTTCGTACGTGAGGCCCTTCCACTTGACAAGATACTCAGTATCGTCTTCACCGTCTCGTACAGCGACCACTCGCTCGACCTTCGTGTAATCCTCGAATGCTTCCTCGTCTCGCTCGCGGTCAAGGAAGAATTGCTCCTTCGTTTCGGGGGGGATATCATCGCCGACGCGGATGTCCACCTCGTACTCGATTACCTTTCTAAAGTAATTCTCAACTTTACGGTAACCCCGATAATCTCGAATGTCTTGAAACGTCTCCCAAGTGTCATGCAAGTGCGACTTGCCTTGCCACTTGATGAAGTATTCGAAGTCGTTCTTAGTCAACCCATAGGAAATTTCGAGTCCGTCTTTGAGCCTATGCCGGACAACCTTTTCTATGTATGGTGAATCGTCGATATAGTCAACGGTGTACGCCATGGGGGCGAGCTCGTCGTCATCATCCTCGTCGACGTCGCTCTCTTCGTATGCACCTTGTTGTACCTGTGCAGCGCGACGACTCGACCAGCGCTTTTCAGCAAATGCGAGATCTGGCTGTGCTTCGCGTTGCATACGAGCCTTCTTCTGCAGGCTCTTTGCGCGAGCACCGCCATATGTGTCGGAATCGGAATCGGAATCGGCTGTGGAGGCACGTAACGTAGGAGTTCCAATCTTGGATGCTGTGATGACCGCGTTAGACCATGAAGGCGGCGAGGGTAGGCATTGCACATAGAAAACGGCCAACTTACAAGGACGGGAGGATTCAACACGTCGCCGCTTGACTGTACGACGGTTGACAGGGGGTTCAGAATCCGAATCATCAGATTCGACCTGCATACGTGAGTTAATAATATATCCGGGTACCGAATTGCGACGATGACCTACGATTTTTCGTTGTTCTCGAGGTCGCGTCTATCTTCTTGTCAGCAAACTTGAAGTCTGAGTGAAAAATTTTCACAACGTACACTTCTCCTCAACCCATAGAGCTCTGGATTGGCCTTGATATACTCTTCTTCCTCGACAGGAGCTTTGCGCTTGGAGGCTCGATTCGAGTCGGTAGAGCTGTCGCGGTCTTCCATCGCGTCTTCGTTCTGTGATGGGAGGCTCTCCTCCATATCGAAGTCTCCATCATCAGACGCATTGTCTTCGCTTGATTGTTCACTCGCTGACATGTGTGTATTGTCGTGGACAATATTGGAATCGTTGTTCGCCTCGTCTGAGGATGCCGGTGATGGTTGATCGAGTGTGAGATCGGGGGCATCATGCGAGTCGCTATCGGTTGCATGATCTCCTGTATCAAACGACATGCTGATTCCATCAACCGGCGACAAATGTCCATTGGAGGGACCCCCCAAAGTAGGGGTGGACATCATGTTGGTGATGATACAGGCTACCTACTGAGGACGCGACGATATTAGCTGATATTCCAGTCTGACGTGGGCGCATGAGCAATTAACGGAATGACGCGACTCCGGCGACCCATAAACGACCTCTAGAACGTCTGAATATTGGGGAAACGATGGAGATGAAGCACTTGTCGCATCCCGTGTAAGTTACCGATGGTCGCTTGATGGAAACACCGAACTCGCAATTGAGAGAACCAGGTGACTCGGGTGCAGCGTATCGGGTCACAGGAGGGTCCAGACGAACGTGGAGCATCGAATCCATCAACTTTCATCGTATTATTGCGTGCATAAGGCCCTTGAGGAAGCAATATCGTGATGGGCAAGGCCGAGGCCGAAGCGGGATCGACGATAGGCGACAGGCCAGCAAGCCAGAAGCGCGGTAGAGAGAAGAAGGGGCAGGAAGGGTAAGGGTAACTCACGAGTCATTAAAGTATAACATGCAGACGAAAGCCAACATCTAGATACTATAGGCTGCCTGTCGGGAACTGTTTGGGGGTATCGGGGGCCCGGTGACGTGGGTAGGGGACGGGAGAATCAATTTGGTGGAGAGGCAGGAACCTGAAGATTTGGATTGATTGCACGGGGGGTGAGAGGCTGAGAGCACCTGAGAGGTGGAGCGTATGTCACGTGATCGTCTCAGCTACCAATCCACTGGCGAAAGCGTATTTATTTTATGCTGGTAGGTAGTCGATACGTAGGTACTATGTTAGTAAGTAAACAAAGTACAAGGCAGAGCTTGGGGTATCGTTACCTGATAGTTTTTCTTGAAATAGTATCAACGTCAATATGTCCACCTCGACTGATCGTGTTTGAAGTTGCTCTATTTCTCGACGTCTATTATTTTTTCTGTTGCGTGTGTATGCCTTAGTACCTACTCTGTAGTAGCCAATGAACGTGACAGACTAGCGCCACTACCCTGGATTCAACCAAGGACCGTATTGTTCTTATTGAGATTGATTGTAGTGGAAGTTACAATAGACCATTGCCTGAGTCCAAGCCTTGAGTCTAGAGTACTAGGTACTAAATGCTATACCTACCAGGTAAGGTAGATATCTGTAAGGTACTTGGGTAGAGCCTAGGTAGGTGCTAATAGTTAAATTGGTGTTTCTGTTGATTTTCAGTCTTTTAGTCTCCCAACTCGGTGCTGAATATCAAAATCAGGAAAGAGGTGGATGTGAATGAATTGAAGACAAATCGCAAAACGGATTTAGCTTTTCGATCTACACATGCCGACATAGGTTCCAAGATCACATTACCAATGCCATATGATTTGCCTTCAACGCAATATATTTACTGGAAATACATAGTAGCGCACTGAGTTTGCGTGTTTTGGTCGATACTGATTGTCATGTGGCACAGAGCGGATTGGCCCATGTGTAATGGTGAATTTGTTCCTTAGAACCTATAATACAGGGCGGTATTGTAAGTGACAAGATAACTGGATAGACCACTATAAGCCACCGCGGCTTTAACTCTGATGTGATACAATCCAATGTATAGAATGTTTGTTGGTACAGAGCAGAGCAGAGCAGAGTGGCGTGTAGTGTGAGTGAGTCAGCTCTGTCCGGTTTGGGTTCGTTTCTAAGAAGAAACTTAAGGCCTTGAATTGTTCATCTGATGGATTGACACCTTGAAGAACCTAAGGTAAGCGAGCCATATTACCGGATGTTAAAAATCTCAAGAAGGGGGAATAAATCAGTAAGTTTGCTACTCTGGAGAGACCTCCCTATTGTACCTAGGCACTGCAGGCTATGTAGGTATTCATTTTTCGCACGGTTCAAGGACACAATCCTTTGTTTGACATATCGAGAGGTCAGGAAACTGTTGACCTGCCCAGTACTTGATTAATGTATTTGGCGACTCAGTGAGACATCCATTGATAGGAGGCTGAATCAAGAGGCCCATGAGTTGCTTGAAAAAGGTACTTGAGTCGTTGAAGTTGACAATATGTTAAATGGATGGCTGCAGCAACAACGTCATGAAGGTTACACTTCACATTTACTGTTAGACCTGCATGGCAGTTTACTCGACCCGCGAACCTCTTATTTTAGTAGGTCCACAGCCCCCCCGCCAAACCTATGACAGGGCCTGAAAATTGGATTACCACCCGCACAACCCAAAGCCTGACCTTGGAACTTCCTTTAACCTTGATTTCTCCCTCCGATTTTCTTTCCTCACCCTGTATACCGCTGAACGAAGAGCATCGGCGAGCGCCAGCGACTCACTGTATCTTGTGCGCTCGAGGTCTCTTGGTCGTCGACCTCCGCCTCTCTTTTCTTGCCCACGAAACAAATTTTACCCCACCAAAATCACTTTTGAAGCGACGTCTGCTACATTACCATAACAATGTCGGACAAGCTCACCCGGTACGTCTATGCGATCGGCACAAAGCATATAAACAATGCAGAGGAATAAAAAGACAAAGGAGAAGAAGAGGCACTAACGCGAAATCAACAGTATCGCCATCGTCAACAGCGACAAGGTCCGTTATTAGCATGATCATCAGCATCACATTGCCCCGCCAAACATTTTCTGACCCCTCCTTTTAGTGTCGCCCTCGAAAATGTCGTCAAGAGTGCAAAAAGTCTTGCCCCGTCGTTCGCAGCGGAAAACTCTGTATTGAGGTCCAGCCCGACTCTAAGCTCGCGTTCATCTCCGAGTCCCTCTGCATCGGTTGCGGTATCTGCCCCAAGAAGTGCCCTTTCGATGCCATCACCATCATCAACTTGCCCACCAATCTCGAAAGCCAGGTCACCCACCGATATGGACCCAACAGTTTCAAGCTGCACCGTCTGCCCATGCCCCGACCCGGACAGGTTCTCGGTTTGGTCGGAACAAACGGTATTGGAAAAAGTACCGCTCTGAAGATTCTCAGCGGAAAGCTCAAGCCCAACTTGGGCCGACACGACAACCCTCCTGATTGGGAGGACGTTATCAAGCACTTTCGTGGTTCCGAGCTCCAGAGTATGTAGCTGCCTCAACCCTGCGAGGAGCCGAGTTGTTACTGACTTACAACCAGACTACTTCACCAAGCTTCTCGAAGATGACCTCAAGGCAGTTGTCAAGCCCCAGTACGTCGACCAGATCCCCAGGGCTGTCAGGGGCCCCAACAAGACTGTCCGATTCCTCATTGAGAGTCGTGCTTCGCTTGGAAACATGGAGCAGGTTGCCAATGTCCTCGAGCTGAACCACATCATGGACCGAGATATCAACCACCTTTCTGGTGGTGAGCTTCAACGTTTCGCTATTGGCCTAGTCGCGGTACAGGCGGCCGACGTGTACATGTTCGATGAGCCAAGTTCATACCTTGATGTCAAGCAGCGTCTGAGTGCTGCTTCAATCATCCGTTCCCTCCTCCGGGACAACGGCTATATCATCGTTGTCGAGCACGATCTGTCTGTTTTGGATTACCTCTCCGACTATATCTGCGTTCTGTACGGAAAGCCCGCCGTTTATGGTGTCGTCACCCTCCCGCACTCCGTTCGTGAGGGTATCAACATCTTCCTTGACGGTCACATCCCGACTGAGAACTTGCGATTCCGAGATGAGTCTCTGACCTTCCGTATTGCGGAGACTACCGATGATTTCGCTATTGACAAATCTCGTGCCTTTACCTATCCTAAGATGGAGAAGACTCTTGGCAGCTTCAAGCTCAACATCGAGGCTGGTGACTTCACTGATTCCGAGATCATCGTCATGATGGGCGAGAACGGTACCGGAAAGACCACATTCTGCCGCCTCTTAGCTGGCGCCCTCAAGCCTGATAGTCAGAAAAGCGTCCCCGAGATGCGAATCAGCATGAAGCCTCAGACTATCACCCCCAAATTCGATGGCACTGTCCGCCAACTTTTCTTCAAGAAAATTAAGCAGTCTTTCCTGTCCCCCCAGTTTCAGACTGACGTCGTTAAGCCTCTCAAGCTCGACGATTTCATCGATCAAGAAGTCAAGAACCTTTCTGGAGGTGAATTGCAGCGTGTTGCCATCGTCCTTGCCCTGGGTATCCCTGCGGACATTTATCTGATCGATGAGCCGTCGGCCTATCTCGACTCTGAGCAGCGTATTATTGCCTCACGAGTCATCAAGCGTTTCATCATGCATTCCAAGAAGACTGCTTTCATCGTTGAGCACGATTTTATCATGGCCACGTACCTTGCTGACCGTGTCATTGTCTTCGACGGACAGCCTGGTATCGACGCTCATGCCAACAAGCCAGAATCTCTCCTTACCGGCTGTAACACCTTCTTGAAGAACCTCGACGTCACTTTCCGTCGTGATCCCACCAACTATCGCCCCCGTATCAACAAGAGCGGATCCCAGCTCGACCAAGAGCAGAAGATGAGTGGCAACTTCGTATGTTCAAACGCTGTAGTTGCACAAGATGATTATTCACTAACATGTTTTTGCAGTTCTTCTTGGAGGAGACCCCTGACAAGAGCTAAAGGCGTCCACAATGAGGATTTCCCTTCTCTCGATGGTGCATCTCACGGCGTTTGGGGCGTTCAAAATGGGAATGGGCAAAAGCAGCGAGTCTTGGGAATAGATGATGACCGCAGCGTCAGCGAGGATGACGACCCAGAGGAATAACGACGGCGATGGCAGAGTGTCTCCTCTTGTCTGGTCCTACGAAGTCTTTGTTCTTATCTGGCTTTCTGTCTTGGCGGGTATTCGAGGTATTTGGAATTCTCGAGAACTTCTCTGTCAACGGCAAATGGCTTGCTTCGTAGATTGAGGGACAACTGATGTATTAGGACCTCTGCCGTCTACGGTTTCCCACCTCGCGGGAAACAATTGATATTATTCGAACGGCCGTTGGTTAGTCTTGAAATAGTTTCAATTACACAGACATTGGATCGTATAGTAAAAGCATTGAATTAAAACATTAAATCGAGGTCAATAATCCTTACTATTTCTAAACCTTGCACACGCCCCATGTGTAGGGTTGACTACTATCTCAACAAATTCACAAGCAATCAACCTAAACTAATATAAGAAGCGGGAAAGACACATACTGGTCAGAAGACTGCTTCTCGAAAGCAACGTACTCGCCATGTCTCCACCGTTGTGGTACTGGGTGGCCGTGGCGACAAGGGGCCGCAAGCCTGTACTCATGTGTCATCTCGCCGGACGGACCTTGTCAGGGTATTTGACAATGCCAGTACATACTGAGAAAGAGCGCAGCCAAATGCTTTAACCATATCTTTCGACATACGGTTCCAGTTTCTAATCTTCCTCAATCTCGCCCTCTTCGCTGCCGGAGTGAACATCCTTGGTTGCAGGTGGAGGGGATTTCTTACGAGGACGTTCTTCAGCTCGAGGCGGTGTACGCTCTCGAGACCGTTCCCTCTTAGTTCTCTGGTTCAAGTTATCAGCTATGCCTTCTTCAGTGCAGTCGAGGGTGGTTTTATATTCGTACCTTAGCATCGCGCGAATCACGACGAGTGTATTCGTCTTCATCGTCTGGACGACGACGTCGAGAGCCGGATGGACGTTCATCCCCATAGTTAAGTTCGTCATGTGATCCCCGGTCGGTGCGACGGCGATATAGTCTCTCGCGTTCATCTTCTCGATCTCTTCTTTCGCGGTCGTAGTAGCTGTCATCATCACGGCGTGAGCGAGAAGGACGATCATAATCTCTTTCCCGCTCGCGATCACGATCTCTTTCTCGCTCCCGACGAGGTGGTGGTGACAGACGGCTTCTATCTGCACCCAGAAGACCCTCGGCCATGGTGGATTTACGGTGATTACGCTCCCGCTCAGCGATAGCCTTGCGTCGGTCCGCTTCGTAGGCATCAGGCTCCGGACTGCGACTTCGTCGAGAACCACGTCCACCACTACGATGAGATCGCTCACCTCTAGATCGTTCCCGCTCACGGCGATGCATGTCTCTTTCGCTAGACATACGGTCACGTCGCCTGTAGTTTCGATCTGCTTCATCTTCCTTCTCCCGCAGCCGGCGAATGTGCTTGTCAAATGCATTGCGTCGTGCATCTTCAGATGCAACGGCCTGGAACTCGTCTGATTTCAAAAGTCGAGATCGTACCTTGTCATATGTATCACTCAAGGCGATAGGGGGCTCCATGCGCTTCATGTAAGCACGTAACTCGTCAATAGCTCTGCGTTGTTGGCGTTCCGACTGTCGATCATCGTCTCCTCGCTTGGACGAGCGTTTTTCGCGAAGCTGGTAAGTTGTCAGGCCCAAGACACAGCTCAACATCAGTTAGGTCAACTTACTCGATCGAAGATGAGCTTGAGAATATCAGGTTCAATGTTAGCAGTCCGTCGATCATCCTTCATGATGGAGAGGAACTCTTCAAAATCGCTCGTAGGCGTAAGATCAAACCGCTTGTCCTGCAAATTGTTATTAACCAATTACGAAAGCTTCATCAGGAGCAATAACTTACTTCGAGAACATCCAAGACATCGTTCCTCGGTCCACGCAGCCCACGTTCCTCCTCTTCGATAACATCCCAGAAAAGCTCTTGGGGGGTCGAGCCACTTTGGCCTACGGCGTCGGTATAACGATTGTCGTTCTCGATGAGAGGAACGAACTGACTCCATTTGGTTCCGGCATTGATTTTTCCATTGCGGCGAAGTTCAGTAAGGAGAGACTTGAAAGCATCACGAGCCTTGCGCTCTTTTCGGAACTTTCGGTTCTTCTCCTCCTGCTTTGTGTCGTTGAACCTGCGCTCAAGGGCCTTCATATGGTTTTGGAAAGCAGTCAAAATGTCAAACTTGGTAAGAGCCTGGTACTTTTCGTCATTCTGGAAAGGCGGGGTAGATGAAATGATACCTTGAGCATCAGCCCATCGAGTGTACGGCTCCAAGTTAAGCTTGGGAAGCAAATCGATGAGACCATCCATAGCGGTCTTTCGAAGAGTCGTCTGCTGCTCAGCGTGTGCCTTTTTCAAGCTGATGATGTACTCTTCAAAGAGCTGCCGACGCTCACTCTCATTGTTGGTAGAGCGGAAGATGGTCTCGCCTTCGATAATCGGACGTGCGGTCTTCCAACGGGTGTAATGGGTGATCTCAGGGTGCCTTTTCAGCATAGTCTCGAAGTCAGCGCGGAGTTTAGCCAATCTTTCCTTGGCGCGTTCCTTGTCCTGGACAACAACATCCTGACAATACTTATCGAAAGCAGCCTTGCGATCCTTAGGATCCTTGATGGCGCGAAACTGCGGGTCTCGCGCAGTTGCTCGAATAGTTTGTTCCCAAGTCCAGTCCGGCTGGACTCCGCTTCGTCGAAGAAGCTTGGCAAAGGCAACTTCAGCCTCTTCAGTGGTGGCGTATTCGGGGTCGTTCGTCGCAGGTACAAAAGCTTGGACTTTGGGGTCGTTTCCATACGTGATCTGACGAGACTCGGGATAAGGGTCGCGTTGATCGCGATATTGGTCGTATGGTGCTTGGTTGTAGCCGCCTGCGCTGGCGGGAGGCGTGTAGGGGGTTGCAGAAGCAGGGGTCGCGGGCTTGCTTGTTGTGCCGAGGGCGGCCTTGTAAATATCGGGCATCTCCCAGGAGCTCTGTTTCGTCTCAGTATTGTACCAATACTTTCGGCCTCCCTCCGCAGTGTATTCCTTCCATGGCTGGTTCGCGAGAGCGCGCTGTGGCTTGTTAGCAATAATGTACACACCAATGACGGGCACTGGACACCGACCTCAGCTGAGCTCATCATTTCCTCGGGCTTCGTCCATTGCGTGGCTTTGGTAGTCGGGTTGTAATAGTAGGCTCTTCCATCAGGCGTATGATGCTCCTGCCAAGCCGTAGCAGGCTGGCCATAGAGAGAGCCGAAGCCGTTCATCTTGAAATTACTGTCACCTGGCGCAGCTTTTTTACGCGACACAAATTGCTCGCTTCAGAATAGTGACGGGATTCCAGGTCGTGATGAAATGATGGCGATGTGGTGAGAAAGAATCAGCCAGCCAACATGGGAGGCAGTTGGTTAGTTAAGTTAAAGGTCGATTTCAGCAGCACTAACTTTTTGCGCACAGACCATTGCCCGTCGCGACGGGACACTCAGCCAAGTGCGTGATTACCTAAGGCATTGATTGACCTCTATCACACGGGAGGGACCACGTCGCTAAGGGGCATGAGCTGCATTCCGACTTACACGGGTATTCTAACAAATCAATGATAAGGTAGTTAAAAGGACGAGATCCTTCAAGCGCGCGACTTGGAAGATCCCCTTGTACTCAGATTCCAGTCTTCTTCATAACAAGCTCGGTTTGATTCTTTGACTGAGATGTCAGACTCCGGTAATACCACCGACAGGGAGTCTATACCCACGGAGGCGACTCAACATGAGCCTGAATCTCTCACTCAGCTCAAAAGAAGCCTATTTATTACCGACCCTACGACTGAGTTTGCTGAGCAGTCACACTTGTCGTATCTTATACCGGAGAATACGGATTTAGATTTGGAAGCAGCTTTTAAGAATGTTGAGCCTGGGAAGTCAATACTTGATTCAATCAAACGCAGGGATACGTTATTCTTCGGTAAGCAACACGCATTCTTTCTCGTCACTGTGTTGCTAATAATCCTCAGACGAGACGGTAAATGTTCTTTTACTCCTCAGAAGTCCCTGGAAAGATGAAGCTTCACTCCGCACTCACCTCAATCGACTAGTGATATCAGTCGAAGCCCAGATCGTCAACAGCAAATCCCATGGCAAGGAGAACTCTTCAGCAGATACCATCTTCTCAGGTACAGTCCCAGATATTGATGACCCTTTCATTATCGTCGACGGGGGTGATGAGGAAGAGGATGAAGAAGAAGAAGAAGAAGAGGACAGTGACGATAGTGAAGAAAGCGGTGATGATGCCAACAGAAACCAAAGTGTTTTCGCTGTATGGAAGCTGCCCGTCTTTTTGAGTCGACCTCGTACGCGAATCTCGGCACCAGCCATCATCTTCACAGCATCCGCGAGCATGAAACCTGAGGTTTCAACTGACCTAATTGGAAAGGGGAGTGGTTACCTTCAGAGCGGTGTGCCCTCTGGTTTTAACCTACTCGAGTCTTTCGGAAGCGATGCTGCACTCGGCGGAGTGAAGCCTCGGCTTTCTGCGCTGCGAGTATCAAGGGTTACGCCCGTTACGCGGTCACAAGATGTCACGAAGCACATAAGAGCTCTGCCTCAGGTCCAGCACAAGATCTTTCCTGTCGTCCACACGAGAATCCGGTTTTCAAGACCGACTACAGCACCGACCAGCTCAACCGTGATCGCACTGCTCGAAGTTGACTTTACCTCTCATTTCGAATGCGAGGTATCATTAGATCAAATCGAGCTTTCAATTCTCGACGCTACTGTCGAAAACCTCAACAATGACGCGGGCATGCAGCTGCCTCTTACCTGCGTGTCTCACGATCATATTACGTTCCTCTACCGCATTGCTCCTCGTCAGCACGACGTTACAGTCAAAAACCCCATGCGCGAACTGGACATTAAAATTTCTGCTACCGCTCAGGTTATACCGGGCCGCTGCACGCCCAGTATGAACATGTCATGGTCAACGCAGCTCGACTTTACTCTTCCAGTCAACCCTGGCTATGGATCGGCAACTGCTGGAACTGGCATTGTCCGCGCCCATAGACCATCGCAACTTTCTATCACAGGCCAAGCAGTAAATCCCCTGGTATCGCCATCTATCATTCGTCCAGACGCCCTGCCCACTCTCGAGGCTGCCACATCCAACACAGACGCCTCCATTACAGAACTTGGCATAACAATGACCTTCACTGGTCCCTCCGAACCTGTCTACCCAGGCCAGGTCTTTTCTTGGACCGTCTCTATTGTGAACCGTGCCACAGAAAAAAATTCTACGCCTCCTCGCAAACTTGCCCTTGTTGCTATTCCCAAACGCCGGCGAGGCGAAGTCCGTATGACACGGCCTCCATCAGTGGGTGGGCGACGAACTGGTGAAAAAGACGTTGCCGATGCGGTCACCGACGAAAATGTACTCCACGCCTTACAGAAGAACTCATCCGTCGAGTCAACTGATGTTGTTTGCTTAAGCGCTGATACCCGGGTCGGTCCTCTTGCCCCAGGAGCTTGTCACGTAGTCGAGCTTCAATTTCTCGCGCTACAAGAAGGCGTCGTGGGCCTCGAGGCTATGCGAGTTGTTGATCTAGGGTCGCAGGAGCATGTTGATATCAGAGATTTACCAACCATGTTGGTAGAGCCAGCAGCGGCATAAAGGTCGTTTCATTCAAGCCAAATGTGTTCATGTTGAGCTATAATATTGCCTGTATCATGTGTCGTATCTCTAATATCATTGCCGATACAATATTTGTTATATTCCCAACGCCTTCTAGCGATGCTGAAACTCCTGCTGCAATGATGCATGTCCCTCATAAAAACACCACTATATGTTCTGATAAGTAACTCATAACAGGTCATCTAGGTCGTCATCCCATCCGAGTTTCTCATATATTGACACCGACTTAGCAGGCATGGACTCGGCCGCCTGATGTTCCAAATCTAAGTTTTTTGTTTTCATACCCTTCACGGGCGTTGCCAAAAGCTCGTCATCACGAGAAAAAGTGAAACTGACCTTTCTTTTTCGATTCGTGACTCCACTCGGGTTGAACAGGTCGGCAGCAGATATAGTTCGTCGTTCTAGAGACGGCGAAGACGGCGGGAATGGCAAAACGTCTTCATCGATCCTAGGCCGACGAATGAAACTTGATCCAGCCTTTGTAGGCGTACTGCCGATCCTTTCAATGTCAGGAGTCGGACTCTGACCTAAGCCATCCCGCTGTGCTCCTCGGAAACCAGTAGAGGGAACAATGGAGGGAAGGCTTGAAGGAGGAATGACATCTTCAGTGCTCATAATGGGGGTATCTGCCACATGTGGTTTTGCAAATACATCTCTGAAACGTGTGTTTGCTGGCGTTGCCTTCACAACGGATCCGCCTAGAGAGCTTCTGCCTGGCTTTCTCACTTCTGGAAATAAATGTTAGCCGGAAATGTTCGCAAGGTTTGCCATTTAAATACATACTCTTGGCCGAAGAGCCCACTGTTGCTCGCCGCTCAGCCGCTTCAGCCAGTGCCTTACCGACAACTTCGCGGTTAGGCTTCCTCAAAGAAGAAATAGCCTCTTTTAGCTCTGCTTCAACTTGAGCCTTTTTGTTAGATTTTGCGTCTTGCAGGTTGGTAACACTGCTGCTCCGAGATAATGGCCCACTCTTCCTATTCATTAGATCGGGCTCAGCGTTTAGGACCGACTTAGCCAGGGATGGATCGCTAGCTTCTCGCTTGATTCCTGGCAGAGAAGTGGATGTTGCAGAGCGCATGAGGGCAATCATGTTGCTGGGGCCTCTGGAAACACTTCGTCGCGACTGCTGCTCTGTCGAAAGAGCTCTTTGCAACGTTCTTGTAGGCTGACCTGATAAAGAGCGTTTGGCAACTGCTCCTGGCTTAGGCGAACGCTTGCTTGATGGTCGTTTCAGAACCTTTGGCCTTGTAGGTTTCACAATGACCGGTCCTCCCAGTTTACGGTTGATCGAATCACATAGCTCTGGGAGCCTATGGGAGAAGCTATCGAAGCTAGTCAGTCGTTATCGGGAGATGATGACAGTGAAACATGAGGCTTACAATGGCACAATGATGTCCACGCAAAAGTCTTTCAGAGGCTCCGATGACGCCTTCTGCTGAGATTGACCATCCGGTGCTTGGGTGATTTGGGAGTCTTCTAAAAGCAGCTGCTCGTCGGAAGCAGTAGATTGCCAAATAGTCAATCGATCAGCGTGGACATCTACAAGAACAGGAAGATTATGTTTGCTCCGCTTCTTGGCCGACGGAACCACCGTGTCACCCTGAGATTCAGCAGCACCAGGCAGTAGGGGGAGCTGGCTATCTTCCGCACCGTCTGCGGGTTTCAGGGGAGTCAATGCCAGGATCTCCAATATGATTATTATCTGGAGCTGGGTTTCTCTCGTGCGAAGCATAGAGGTAAGTGATCGAATTTGTTGAGTGGAAACGTTGGTCTCGTCCTCTTTCAGTTCAGGCTTGTTGGTGGCCCACCACTTTCTGATATGAGTTTCTTCATGTGGATAGAGTCCATCCTTTCCGATCTTCATCTTCTTGGCTCGGCGCTTTCTCTTCGGGCCCTCGTCAGAACTATCCACCGCCGTTTTCATCTGGGCTATGAGAGCTGGAACAGTCTCACGGTATTTTTTGTCGATTTGGACAGTGGTCAGCACGAGTCCTTTCAAGAATTCGATAAGATCCTCAATATCTAGATTAGCTTCAAGGTCGAGATGGAAAGCAGAACGAGCACGAGAGAGAGGCCCTTTGGCAAAATAGGCGAGCGATCCCTGTATTGATTAGCTATGGCAACGAAAGCCAAGGTCAAAGGTCTCACCATGGACTTGTATAGCATCTCAAAGTACTGGGTTCTTAAGGTTTCGAATAAACTTTCTGTAGTCGGCTGCTGGGAAGGCCCCTCGATGATGCCAGATGTTGAAATTGCAGTTGTTGGACGTGACGCCTGAGCCTGCTGCTCGCTTAGGGTTTGTGCCAGTTCTTCTGGTCTCAAGGTTGGCGATGGAAGTTTAGACTCTGCAGTCGTAGCAGCTTCGGGGGCAGCTTCTATTTTCACAGACTCGGCCAATGTTGAAACAGACTGCGACCTAGGCCTTTTGCGGACCAGGGTTTGAATAGCTTCGATGGCCGCTTGTTTGATCTTTTCCTCCTTATGAATGTGTGGGGTGGTGATTACGGAGGGCCCGTATTGGCTTTGAGACTCGGTTCTAGCAGTTGGGCGTAAGCGTTCTCGACAGACAGCAGATGCGTTGTCTGCCAGAGCCTCCAAGTCTACCCAGGGTCCTAGCCTGCATACAATATATACTCCGTTGGGTTGTCGCTCGAGAGCGTATACGGCACGACTTGCTTCCTTTCTGGCTAGAAGTACCACGGGGCCAGAGCCCATTCGACTCTCCAAGTCGAGGATCTTGATATGAGACTCGAAGAATCGATAAGAAGCAAGATCAACATTGGTAGCGTGAAAATCGATGCAAGAGAGAGGCAGACGTTCGCGGGGAAGGACCATCAATGGATAGAGAATGCGAGGCTGGACATTGAGTTTCGGAGGATGGGGCTACATAATGATCACGAATTAGCTGAAGCATTCAACAGCGCCGGAATCGTATTTGCAAACCTTGACAGCAATCGAGGGCTTCAAAAGATGCTCCATGGCTACTGAGTCGGCCCTCTTCCTCCTGTGTCCGTCGGGAAAACGCAGCTCATCTTTGTGATTTGAGCTCCCTTCAGAGCTTGGTGTCAAAATCCTTGACCGCGCTGGACGCGTCGCGTCGATGCCAGCAACGGCGAAAGAGGACATTGAAACGGAAGAAGGATCATGCGGCGGAATCCATCTGAGAATATTCGAATACAATTACAAAAAGAATTGAATTTAGGATATAGCTGCAGGGCTGCAAAAAACTGTTGTTGTTATGATATCAAGTGCTCAAGTAGCATGCATTTTATGTGCTAAAGTGGTTTTAATGGGGTGCGTGCACGGGAGCTACAGATACCTACCTTAACTTAGATGTATTGGACTGGATGTGACGTATTTGATAGGTGGGACCCGTCGCGTCGCGTCTCGATTTTAGTGGATATGGGCTACCTGAAAACCGCTGAACATTCACGCTACAGAACTGACAGCGCCTCACCACTCATTCTCATAGTGAACGGTCCATTTACTATAGATACCTCAACTTGCTGTTCTTATCCATGAATAGTGGTTATTATGGCATCCAAGTCATTCGTTATCTTCTCTCCATTGGATATAATCGCCGCAGGTGCAAAGTCGTGTCTTGGAATGTATTTAAAATGTGTCGTCACGCCATAAATTGTTACCGATTTGAAGGATGGAAACCACACCCAGATCACGGACATTAAGGTACTCATCACTTTGCGATCGGTTTGATACGTAGTATTCAACTTATGCTGCAGGCAGATATGGATATTAACAGCCAAGTACCTTGAGTTGAAGATACCCAGTAGGTAGTACGCTTAGTCTGAAATCATAAACTTTCGAATAAGTCTTTCTCTCTGGGGATGAAACAAGACACACCCATTTACGACACCAATCCTTCTTGACAATTCAGCTCACTTCTGGACACGTCCTTGCCGCTGTAGATGCCTCAGCTATAAGGGCTCATCGATGATCTTCCGTTACTACACTATCAGCTCGTATGCAAGTAGAAGTTATCTTGTATACGAAGTGTCTCGTCCGTGACTTGACGGAAGCTGACGTCTACAGGATGAATGCCAGTGCTCTTACATGATAGCGTACGGGACAACAACAAACAGCCACTTATTCAGCTCTGAGCAATCATCAGTTCAAGAGACATTTGCTTATTCAGGCTTGCCAGGCTTGTAGACGTCAGCTTTGCCATTTTCTAGTGTCTACAGAGCCACGTTCGACTCTTTGGAACTTACTTAGCCAATACTCTATAGCCACGGCTCTTCGTTCTCGAACATGGTTGGCCATTGATCACCCCACGCATTACTGCAAGGAACAGGAGGCAAACATTTCTCAAGGTCGTTGTCCCTTACGTTAGCCCAGTTGGGCTGCATTCGATGCAACGGAGATCCTTTTTGACTTTCCTCAATAACCGGCACGCCTCCAAACTATATTCTTGCAAGCGAGCAGACGTTTGATAGCCACTCCAACTGCGCCGTTTATCTTTCGTGTTATGGGCTGACCAACTACTTTTAATAACCTACTATACGTGCCTTGTGTCAAGTGGCTGACTAGTACGTCGAGGATTCGCGGCAAGTTTCTTCCTCTTTTAAACTTGAGAATGTTGCGAGTAGTACAAGGCACATGTTGAGGCTATCAGATAGAAGAAGTGGTTTCAATGCGAGATACGTGCCCCATATTTGTACCACCTCATACTTACTAACTTACCTACCTAGGTACCTTACTCGATTGGCTGTCTGCTACCTACTATGTATGTACAGTACCTGATCGATCCCGTTGCACAAACTCAGCACTTGCAGTGTCGATCCCCCGCGCCAATCCTTTCCCTCGGAACAGACATGGCTGCACTGTACGTACCGTAGAGTGCGGGGCCATCATGGGCACAAGAATTTAATTCAGATCTTAGGAAACGCCATCTGATTGGTTGGGCTCTTCCGTCATAAGTCCAGATTTCGGCGGCCCGGGGTTTCTCTTCGGACTGGCCCGTCCGGGCTGAGACCCGGTTCTCGGGTTTGGGCTAATGTGACCACAAACGCCAAAGGCATCTTCATTGTTCGTTTGAGTCAAGAACAAGGTTTCTGGATAGTGTCATCCAACTAGAACTCGATCTGTTACTGCTTTGGGGAACCACCGCTTTTCGGGACAGGAATGTGGGACACCACCACAATGCTTTTAGGTTCACGACCTCGGGGGTCTAAAACAGCATACCATCGCCAGGGGTGTGCGCTGAGCTTTCTCTGTTTCAAGGCTCTCCGTAAACGAGATTTATACTCGCTACTTCAAGTTCAGCTTTGATCAACATCCTCATACCTGTAACCTGTAGCCCGTCATCGCAGGACTGTCTCCACCTCATGGAGGTCTTGTCACTCCATAACTATCGAGTCTGCAACACACCATCTCATTTTTAACAAATTCGACTATGCGACGTAGAGATGACTTTCATTGAATTGTAGATTCAAGTATATTTCTGCCTTTTCCTAAGTGCTTCTCCATGTGCTCCCACCTTTTCCAGCGGTCATGGTATAGCGGCGTTCCAATGTGGTACCTTCCATGAATGGTATTCTCCCGGCTAAGATCTCGCGCCAATTCCGTGGTACCTGATCCTCCGTGATGATGATAAACTTCGCTCCCTGTGTACATGCCTGAGCGCCGGCCAGTGCCGTCCTCCCATTACATTAGGGTATGATGCCGTTGTATTCATTCATAAAATACCGAAAAGACAGAAACAAAAGAGAAACAAACAGTGGTTGCTAGCTTTGACAATTGTCAATTTTGTGCTGCTGTGGAGGCATTGTGTCTATACTGTACAATGCCCTTGATGAAATAGAAAAGAAATCGCTGTTGTGTACAAATTGTAAGAGGCCGTTGGTGCTGGTAGCAGTGTGCCACGACCCGTTTCTGGGTCATGTTAGGACATTTACTTGTCCGAGTATGTGAAGCTGGAGGGCGTCATGTTCATAAAATTGACGCTCTGCTGGCTCTGTCCAGGTGATGAATGTGCTGATAATGAGGCGTCGTCGGACCAGTTGTACTCAGCATTGCCACCAGCGAAGCCAAAGTAGGAAGGCCCCATTGGGGCACCATAAGAAGGGGTCTGGGGCTGGCTAGAGCACCCCTGGGAAACATAGTTAGGTACTTGGCTTGAGGTACCTGGAACCTCGAATTCATTGGGATATGGCGCCAGCCCTGGTGTCACCAGAGGTTCATCCGCCACGGCGACCTGATACACAGATTCGTTGCTGTACAGTTGATCCATGACACCTGGTGTAGTCGGTGGGGTACGCAGAGTTGGGTCGTGAATGGCAAGATCCATTGGGTACTTCTCTTCGTATGCTACTGAGCTAGCCGGAGTGGCCTCGCATAAGCCCTGCGGGTTTGCTACGACCGGCGTATTGGGAGTGGGCGGTGCGATTGTTGCAGCAGTCTGGAAGCTAGGGGAGCGGTTAAGCTGCATGAGAGCCTCGGGGTTTCTCTCAAAATAGGGGCTTCGTGGGCCACCACAGGGTTTGCTGATACGGCCGACGCCAGTCGCGGAAGCGACACGACGCATTGAGTGGCCAACATCTGCCCTTCTTCCCATGTCGAATCCGGTTCTAGGACCGCTTGCTGAGTAACTGCGGGAGGCGTTGATGGCAAGTTGAGGTGGACGCCTGTTTCGACGAGATGCAATATCCATTGAAGGGGAGGGCTTCAGACCCATAGAGGGCTGATCCACAGCAAGGTTGTTGCCGGAGTAAACATATTGCTGCTGAATAGGGGATGTGGACAGGCGAGGGAAGCACTGCTGGGGTAATGAAGGCGTAGGTTCATCATCCTCGTTTGGCACAATCAGCTGAGGATATTGACTGTAAGAGGGCAGGGATGTGTTGAGAGATACGGATACAGGCTCTGGTGTAGGTTGAGAAGATAGATCTGGGGATGAGCCGATACCAAAATCGGAGTGGCTAGCATCATTCTCGCTTTCATGCTCAGGACTTGATACGTCTGTCGACCGGGTTTCGAGAGGGCGAGGGGCTGGGAATGGAGCGCTGGAAACAACCCGATCAGAGAGATGGTCGTCGTCTGAATGGACACCGGAGTCATTGGAGGTTGTATCTTTGTCCATTCGCTGTTTCGCCGCGTATTCGCGGATGTTCTTCTCCTTCTTCTCCCGTGCTCGTCGGTTTTGGAACCAGTTCTGCGAGTTTGTTAGTAATTTCGGTACAAGTTTCTCAAGATTCAACACCGACATTGATACGGGCATTGTCTACTCTCATAGACTCAGCCAGTGCCTTCTTGGTAGTGCTGTTGGGCTTGTGATTCTTCTGAAACTCGGCCTCGAGGATCTCGACTTCCTCTTTAGAGAGTCGAGGTTTTGTCTCAGTTGTTCTAGACATTTGGTGATGATATAGGAGATGCCCCTGATGAGCATTGTAAAGCTCCATTGATTCAGGGAGGTAAGCCGCATAACTTGGTAGCTGTTGAGAGTATCTGGGGTACTGGTGGGCAGCGCTCTGGTAGCCCCAGCCAGACCACTGGGGTTGGTGGTGGTATGAACCCATGTTCTCCATCACTGGCTTTTATTCAGGAATGTAACGGGCGTTGGTGGTAATGATTGGAATGAAGAATTAAGGCCCGCGTGTAAGTCAGGGCCAGGTTCTGTAAAACTTGAAATCTTAAACGTATGAACGAATGGCAGATCGATATCTTGTCGATTACAAGTAAAGAGTGACTTGGTCAGACTGGCTAGGCAATATCAAATAGAAGAAAAGAGAGTGAGGAGGTCGTAGTTGATGAAGTTGCGTCAGGTAGCGGAACAAGTCGTCTTTTGAAGAACCGTTGTTAAAGCAAGGCAATCCAGGCAAGCGAGAAGGGTACCGCAATGGTGAGACAAAGGTCAGTCAAACTGCCCTCTTAAGGATGAAGTAGACGAAGGAGGTTCTTAGTCGGAAGGGAAAGCAATGATGGAGATTTGAAGGGGTGTGCGAGGGTAAAAGAAGGGAACGACCTCTTCATGTTGTACACAGCCTGAGGAGCCCTTAAAAACACCGGCAGTCATTTTGGCCCATCATAGTTAACAGTCTGCAAGATGGCGTGTGGGTTCTCACCCGAGGGAGCTGGGGTCGAAAAGAAGCAATCAGACCCCTGGATCCTAACATGGCCGGGGGAGGAGATCACATCGCGTCGAGATGTCTTGTCATGGGCAGAGCAGCAGGGGCCCCGGGCACACGCGAAGAACAAGCACCAAATCCTAGGTTACTGTGCTCTGGCCAGGTACCTAGAGCAACTTTGGGCTCAGGTTCCGGGCTGCGGGCCAAGAGCTGGAGGCTCGTCCACCGACCTCATCCCTGCATTCGACCCCTGTCCACCCTTCCCAACGACAAGGCTACGCGAGAGTTTTGTTTTAGGCGTGCGCCGGGGGTCCTTGAGGGCACCTCACCTACATGCTACAGTGGGCACCGCAAAGGAGGGAGCGCTCCGCGCCGGCCTGTGCTGCCGTCGTGGCGGCGCCTTGTCCACGCTCGTTGATCCACAGCTCTGTTATCCCTCCGAAGCCTCCCTCGGAGGGCTCGAAGTCACCGTTCTGGCGGGATTGGGTCAGCGGGTCCTGCGTTCGCCTGTCTTGACTCTGAAAGGGAATAGCTGTTTTGAACCTACGCCTAAAGAAGATGCAAGAGCTGCCACAGTGGAGTCAACGCTAGATCTCGCACTTAGCTCGAGGGGTTGATGCAAGTTGGTAGGGCCGGGTCCCAGGGCGGCGGCGCTCCAGTTTCTGTGCCTTGACCTTGTCTCATTCGGCCAACTGTTGGTGTTTTCGTTGTCGTTGGCATTGCCCTTCCACCGTTGCTCATCCATGTTGGGTGGTGATTGACTCTGTGAGACGCATAATCTCGTATCGTACTAGCATTGCCCAGAGGTCTAAACAAAAGATAATCTTTGCCAGAATAAGGGCTGATATACAGCCAGATCAGGACTATCTCTCTCTGATGCATAAGTGATGCTTAGGTCCAGATGCCTGGTGTTCAGCCTGGCTTCCTCAAAAATGCCAATTGTCGGCGATAACACGCATTCGCTCCGTGAGGCCATTCATGCATGAGTTGAGCTGTGAATTAAGCGAATTGAGTCGGCGTAGTCGAATAAGCTCCGGGCCCGAGAAGTCCAGAAGTCTTAGATTGGGCCGGCAGGTGTCGTGAAGAGGCAAGTAGATCGTACCTAAGCCCCTGTACGAGGACCGGCCCAGCGCTTCAGCGTGCTGTAGGTGTTGGAGCCGTCAGTCCCCAGCCAATCATGCCCAGTCAACGCATCTCTGTCATTGGCCTGGGCCTTCTTTCATGCAGTCCCGAAGAGTTGGGAGGTGAGATGAGGCAGCTATACCCCGAAAGACTTACCTTCTACGCCGTACCCTACTCGGGCTTGCGAGGGAAGGACGTTATCCTAAAACAGATTATGCTTTCCATTTCTAGCTTCCAGCTTGCCACTTCACGACCACCTTCTCCGTGATTGCTCAAAAGTATCCATAAGGTACTAAGGCAGGTAGGCCAATGTCTACCTACCTGCAGTCTGCCTTTTTGGCGCCTGCTTCTCTGCTCATCATACAAGGGCTTTCTCAATTCACATTGGTCCAGTTGAAGTCCACATATTCACTACCTCTTGTCTCTCACCATGGCACACAAAGATCAAATGGCAGATTGAGTGTCCAGCTTGTGCGACGTTGTCTTTGTCACATCCGCTGGTGGCGGACGGCATAATAAGCTCATTTATTAGCTGTGCAACCACATTATCACATCACATCAAATCGACAGTTGCGAACAAAGCCTGCGGAGAGAATTTGCGATCCTGCAGCATTGTTGGCTAGTTTGCCATTGAGGTTGTTCACACCAAGCAAGTCGTGACCATCCAAGTCGCCGAGTCAAGAAGTTTCCAAATCAGACTGAACCATTTGACGACGAACGACTTACATGATACTTCTACGATCCACGTACCACCCCTGCACAAGGAACTGCAGGTAGGAAAGTCCCGACTCGGTCTGGATATTCATCTTTGCCATCGCTTTGCAGAGCTGAACAACGTTTGAGTGCATATAGTATGGCGAATGTAACCTTGGCTATTCAGCTTGCCAATTCTCACATCCATGTGAATCCTCTTCTGCGCATTTGCATAGTCGAAACAAATGACAGCTCTGAGTGGTGCTACAACCGAACATCTTTTCTAGCCGTTGGCATTCCTCGCGTACAACCCCTTCTGTCTATATCGGGCTTTGCAACTTGGTGTGTCCCCAAGAGGCGTGGTACGATCGGCAGCAAGACGAGGGATTGCGTGAAGTTGTGTAAGCGGCTTGAACACTATGTCTGTAGTGCGCTCTGCTTCCCAGCAAGGTGGTTCAGTCGGCTCTCTGCATTCTCAAGCCCAGGAAAGCAGTGTGCCTTTGTGACGAGTTCCAGTCTACAAGGAACATTTAGTTTAAGCGCGACTATTCCAGCATTGTCCTACAGGCGCTGCTTGGTCTATCTTCGCGTTCTGATATCAAACATGTCATCAAAAGCCAAGTGAGGTTCGCTCAGCGCTACAAGCCACGCCACGACCGGTGAAAATGTGAAAAGGGTGCGAGGGAGCGTGAGCGGTTGGCCATTAGTGGGCCCGACCGCAAATTGCGCACCTGCAGGAGAGTGACGCCAGGGCACTACAAAGAGATTGGAAATGTGTCCATCAACGGCCTTGAGAGGTCAGGAGGATGTGACTCTCAAGCGTCAAGAAACTGTCCAGCCATGGTTGTGACAGGTATGTAGTCGCCAGCGAGTCAATCCCAGCCTACGATGGGGTCATCAGCCAGAGTTTACGAATCAACGGCATAGATAAGCGACAATTCAGGCCAGCTGTAAGTCTCGCCAGAGGCGGGTCACCGGAAAGGCAACTGCTCAGGGACGGAAACAAACCAAGCTTTCCAAAACTGGCAGGGTTCCAACGCTGAAGCACACGGTGCCTATCCTAGAAAACCTAGGAGCCCGGAAATGATATATCGAAGCAACAAATTCGAGTGTAGCATCGCAGCACAGCAGCACTGTCATTGTGCTTCCCATTGACGAAAATGCACCAATATGAGAGTTACACGGACACGACTACGTATGCTTGATCTAGGGCCAAAAAGTTATGTACCACAACCATACAGCGAAGTCCTTCCATATCCGAGTTGCTGTTTATAGAAGTTTTCAGTGCTGATCAATCCGAGCAACGCACGTCTGTAAGTTGAGATTGAGAGACCGATTGTTGTTTAGTATCAGCATGGCAAACTGATATTCTCAGGTTCTACGGTCTTATCGGTGCAGTGGGTCGCACACTCATTTTCAACATCACAGCACCTCCACTTCTCAGGTACGACGCGGTGGGGTTGAGCCAGAATGAAGTTCACGGCAAAGCCGAAGAGAACGGTCTCGACTCACTAATAAGCAAACTCGTATGTACCTGCACCCGCCTGAGCGGGTTGTGGGAGACGGCGTCAATTTCTTTCTTGTTGTTGTCTTCGTCGAGATTCATCGCAGACCGCGAATTGCTTCAATGGAGGCTCTTTGCTTGCGAACGACGATCAAAATCTTTCTTGACATGTTTTGTGCATGTTGCAAGCATTTTCCTGGCGGATGATCTACATAAGATGTGCACCATTATGCCCCCAGAAACTGGTCTAGGAAATGATTAGCTCTTCAGTGCGGGGGTTACTTGACAGAAAACCAGGATCTCGGATACGATGTACTCCAGTGCATGGACATACGCTACGATACCTTGTGCATTAACGTCAGGTGTTCAGTGTGCTTTGGGAAGCATGGCAGCTTCTACAAATTTCACGGTGATTTCCGATGGGAAGAAGACATCGGGGAATGTGCAACAAGAAAGTCAACGGCCTGGGATTCCAGAAGCGATCTGAAAGTGACTACATGGTCTTTGCTGTCGGGAAGAAGCCGTCCCGATACTGGCAGGGGCCGATCTTGTCGATCACTTTTGGACGGTCACTTCGACTCTTTGCGGCTCTGATGAACCGTCTTAAAACTGCATGACTGATCGTTGTCATCCACAACGGCCTAAATAAGTAGTGGCCTTGCTCAGTAGTTAAGCACAATCGAGCCAAAACAGGAAGCCGTGGTGGTTGCTACGATGCAATCCTTTCCCAGCTGAGTACACACAAACACCCGCAGGACACTGTTCCCAATTGTCTTCGGCACTTACATACTGAGGACGTCACGCACTGGATCGAGTATACCACCCTTGTCGATATGCATTTCCGACCACAGGCTGCATGAATCCCTGGTCGTCATTCAGACAAGACCGCTGGCAGCCTGGCACGAGGTTACCCTTGTAAGAGGTCCTGGTCAGAAGCAGATCCGAGCATTTTCGGGGTCGCTATTTACCAGAGATTCAGAATTATCAGATAGTTCCCTCGCTTACCACGTCCGGGCACTAGATCCGCGGCCCGCACATATCTTCCTGCAACTTCAAGGGGTACAGGAACAAAGGCGACGTTTCGAGTGAGAAAAACATACGATTTTCAACATTTACACAGATGCGCTAATAAGAGGGCTAGTTCGTCGCCGTTTTGATGCTTTATTTGAAGGTGCTTATCAGGCGTCCGCGTTGAGCTTTGAGCAAGCATAACGGCTGCCTCATCAGAGACAATGTCTCAGAATCTGCTGCGGAGTGTAAAGTTGCGATTGGTCAGCGTGCTAGTGCCTACCAGGAGACCCGCAGAAACCAAGGCTTAGCGTACCTAGACGGGGCAGAGGCTGGCTTCGAAGACCTACCTTATGCTAAGTACCAACAAGTCACTCCATGCCCGTTGAGCATGGCTAGAGAATGGATCACGACCGAGCTCTTCCCCTGAGGAAGAAAAAAAGCTCTCTTCAGGAGGTTCTCGAAACTGAGCAGTTTGACTAACCCAAGCTTTTAGAGGGAAAAGTTGAGGTGCAGGAGGTGTTAGAGCTCACTGCATGCATATCTGTTGTGTGGATAGACTCCTGATGCAATCAAGATCTAATCATGATCCTTCAGTACGGCATTTTGTATAACAACATTCGGCACCGCAAAATCAATGGACAGGTTAAACGAAAAATGGGTACTGGGCGGCCGAACAGAGACAGGGTTGGGTTGCTAGAGGTCCTAGCGAGAGTTACCAGTCCTCTGGAAAGCTCTAGGCCGTGGCAAATCCACCACATTAACGATTGGAGCAGCTCGTGGCCAACTCGTACAAGCAAGCGAAGGTTCAGATCCGATGCCCCTGTTACTGGGGCTTGGGCCTAGCTTCAACTTAATCCCCATGTCCCATCGTCTCGGTAAACCAGTGTTCTCTTGGAGAATCTTCAAACCTCTTTGCCTGCAACTTAACGTTAGTATGTAAGTTAAGTCACAGGCAGCTTTAATGACAAGGTTCAGCACCTGTCATGCTTCCCAATGGGCTGTTTCTTGCCACTGATGTGCTTCTGCTGCCCGGTGCAACTTAAGAACAGGTCGGCCTACTAATCGCGAACTGATGGTCTAGCTCTGCACTTCAAATGGCTACGACTTCAATGGCATAATGATCAATGTTTCGATGTCAGACACGCCGTCAAAGAAAGGGAAAAACGGCTTGGGCTTTGAAAGTCAAAAACGTGTTGTTTTGATGAGGCAATGTTGACCTATGAATGTGCCAAATTTTTCCTTGATGCCGGGCAAATAACACAGCTGTGCCCACTCATGACGCTTTGGTATATAGGTAAAGCCGGAGTCATGAACAGTAAGGATATGCTGAACCGGAATCATTCGTCATTGTCCAACATGCAGAGCTCCAGGATCATGGATGAAACGAGCTACGAGCTACTGCGGACATACATGCA